ATATCTACTTAATATATATATATGGACACTCACGATGATATTTGGAAAAGAAGTGCCATTCCATGCTTATTAATATTAATACCTCGTGTTATTCCTGCTTATTAAAAAATTCTTCTCATATTATTTGACATTAGTAAGTATCGAGTCGACTTCTCGTCTTTACTTCTTCGAGATTAGACGAGATACTTACTGGGTACATGTTATTTATGTACTCATACTACACTTTTTTACTAAATTGTACAGGATCTGAGGCAGGTGGATCTGGTTACCAGTCTGGTGGGCATCCTTGAGCGGACCCGAGACTTCTACGGTGAGTTGCTTCCCTTTCATGCCATTCAGCAGCCTGAAGAAGTCTTTCTTATGTATTTATTTTTACTATCTATCCTGATTCGAACAGTAGGATAGTACGATTTTTTTTGTATATTCTACTAGTTGTTCATAGCTTGTGGCACCAGATCTTGGCACACACTCAAGTAGACATTTATTTTTGGGTTGTATTATCACTTTGATACAGTATTGATCATTTCTGACCTCAATTTTAAATCTGAGAAATCTGTTGCGCTTAGTTTTGGTAAAGATAAAATGAGAATTTAATAATACTTCCGCGTCGACTTGCCTGATAATGGTGTCGGGCGCCATCATAACCTATCATGAAAATGGATCGTGACAGAACTTAGAGAAGACGTAGGATTTTTTCGAGCCCCTTTTTTCGGAGATAAATTTTCTAACTTCTATGTATCCTCAAAGAATAGAATGATCGCAATTGTTATCTCTTGATGATCTAAACTTGTTATCAAGATACAGAAAATAGAAATTAAATAATAAAAAAAATTACTATTTCCAATCAATCATTGTCGATCGATATCCAAATTGTTTCCAATTAGCAATTTTAGTCCTTGAGTTTTGGCTTAATCCCATTTAATTCTTGTATTATTTGGTTAAGCACATCAAATCTTCAACTAGATCAATGAATGTGCAATCTTGATCCCTAACTAACGGCAATTTTTACTATCATTTAATTGTACAATGCATTATTAGTCAGCGAAATTTTACAAAAAATTAAAGTAGTACTCTATTGCACTAAACTTATAGGATAAAAATGAATTATACACACTGAGAAAATAAACTAACTTAATTATTCAGCATTCAAATTCAAAGATACTATCTTAATAATTAAATATATTTTCTTCTTAATCATGATAAAAACGAAGCAGATGCCTTAGAATTGCAAACACTTAAATTTCTCAAACGACCATCATTCAATTATTGAAAAAAGATACAAAGACTTTCATGTGTCATAATATGTTGGAAAGCTTTCATTAATTTCAGTGCTGCATGCGTTGGTGACTTTTGAACAACTGCTGTGTGATAGAATTGACTATTTGGATTTTGGGCTTAACATAATAAATAAGGTGGCTCTCTCAAGCATTTCCTCCAACAACCAACCAACAATCCTATGATTTCGTATAATTTTGGATGGATATTCAGACGTTCTTTATTCAACCATATTTTCATGCATTTGCTCTAAACAAATATCTCTAGCCCTGAGGACTTTGGACTTTGACAATTTCCAATACGTCACTTTTAGGTATTTATATAATGTTTCAATCAAGCTGCTGATTAACATCAAACAGCTTTCTGTATGCAATTAATAAACGAAGAAAAGAAGTAGTGCATATTGACACAATTAAGAGACCAAGTCATGAGTTAAAAAAATATATACAGCATTTTCTCACTTTTTTGTTGTTTCTTTTCCAACTTTACGGAGAGGAGATAAATAGAAATAGAGTAATTGGCTATATTTGCTTTTATATTCAATAATGGGTTAGTTACCTGACCAACATGAAATACAAAACATGCAGTTTCATACAATTGTCAGTAAGAATTCACTTCAAGATATTGTTTGTTCTTTGACATCAGAATTCTAATGTTGTACTACATGTGTTTTCATTTCACTGTTTCTAATACTGAAATTCATTAAGATAAAGACTTTTTAGAGTCAAGATTGGCAGGAGAATGAGCCCACCATACATACCATCTCCATTCACAATATATACGTTATATAAGGACAAGCTCAAACACAAAAAGTCCCATAGTTTTTCAAAGATAACCATTTAATTTCTCCCCTTAATTAGCTTCAAGACTCAAATAAAAATGGTGGAGAGAGAGCAAGTCAGACCATTAGCTCCAGCATCCGAGCGGCCGAGCAGCGACGACGACGAGACAACGTTAAGCAAGAGACGATTTCATAAAAGAAGATGCATCAAATATTGTGCTTTCGTATCTATCCTTCTTCTCATTCTAGCCATAATAATCATCATTTTGATCTTCACAGTGTTCAAAATAAAAGACCCTATTATTAGAATGAATGGTGTGACAGTGGATAAACTAGACCTTGTTAACACTGGCACCATTCCCATGCCCAAACCAGGTTCCAACATGACTATAAAAGCTGATGTATCAGTAAAGAATCCTAATTATGCATCATTTAGGTATAGTAACACAACCACCACCATTTCCTACCGCGACACGGTGGTCGGGGAGGCGCGGGGCCCACCGGGGAAGTCGAAGGCACGTCGGACTATGAGGATGAACATAACGATTGATATTATTACGGACAAGATTGTGTCACACCCTAGCTTACTATCTGATATAAGCACTGGTTTGCTTACCATAAATAGCTTCACAAGTGTTGGTGGGAAGGTCAATTTGTTGAGGATGATTAAGAAACATGTGGTCGTCAAGATGAATTGCAGTATCACTGTGAATATTACTAGCCAGAGAATTCAAGATCAGAAGTGCAAGAAAAAGGTCAAGCTTTAATCAGGATATTAATGAGTTTCATGATATATTTGTTACTTTACTAGATATTGTTTTTGTGGAATTCTCCATCCTACACTCATCTAACTCCCTTTTGAGTTCTGTATACTATTTGCTGTTCATTATGAGGAGTTTCTGGGGATGGCTTAGATGTTACTATAGTGCTAAGTTGCTCGGACTCGGGTGCGGGCATCCGATACGGGGACGGATTCGAGTATCGGATTCGGCAAAATCTAAATTTTAAGATTCGGGGGTACGGATACGGATATGGATACGGGTGCGGAGATTCGGCTAATAAAAATAGAGATATAAAAATATTGTAAATTTGGAGAGATATTATGTGAAAAACTTACATGAATATTGTAGAATTCAATCTTTCATTCTCCAAGATGGACATAATTCTTTCATTGTCCTAAATCTGTTTTATTTTTGATTTTGAGAAATCAAAATCTCAATTTTTCTCCCAAATTTGTCAATGGACTCCGGTCATAGTGTCCGAAGTTAGTTGACCGAATCCGGGACATATCCCGTCGCCGTCCCTGTCTCGTATCGAGACGGGGACGACACCAAAATCGAAGAGTCCGCGTAACTTAGCTATAGTGCATATTTCGAACCTATTCTGCGTGCTCTATCCTTGTATATTATGGTATCCCTCTTCCTAGATTTATTAATTCTTTTTGCAATTCTGTATGATCACAAATACTTTAAATTTCCTAAGAAGATGAGTTACAAAGAAGATAATTAATTAGAGCAAATTTTGCTAGATGGGGAAAGTAATCACTATCCTAATTAAACTTGACGTTGAGATCAGACGAGTCCATATAGTTAATTACTAGTCTTCAATTATTGAAGACTATCAACACCTGGCATTTTAATTGATGGATCACAAGCATTTAGGGCTGTTCAAAATCGAACTAAAACCGTTAATCGAATTAAATCGATGATCTATTAGCTTATTGGTATCGGATAATCGGGGTAATGAATGATGAACGGATTGAGATCTTATATTTAACCCGTTAATTTTTTTATACTTACACTTTTACCCCTATGTATATATGACTCAAGTTCAAAACAGTCGCAAATACGTGTAAAATTATAACATAGAATGATAAAACTGTACATCTGATGTCTATAGCTAATGGCAGTCATCTCTGGCATCTCGTGAATTATTTGTGATCATGAATTGAATTCCTCTCCGAGCCATAGTATTACCTTTGTGGATAAGAATGCTAATGGTATTGATTGTTCAAAAACTAACAAAGACAGTTTGAACTATATATTCGGCCGTTTGGTATTGATTGTTCAAAAATTATCTATTTGGTTTAGCCGATAAACCATTCGATAACCGTTAATCTGATATAAATTCGCCCATTGTCTTATTAGATGACTAGCAAATTAATATATTTATAATCTGATAACCGATACGCCGAAATAAGCATCCTTACAAGCATTTATTGGTGCAAATATCGAATGCAGATACAAGTTCAAGAGTTTTGGTGTATATAATAAAGTGAAATTGAGATTCGATCCATGAAATTAACACTTAATGGGCCACCTAAAGGTGCAAGAATTTGAATTAATAACTTCAATCTTCGTGAATTTAAGCTTTTCAATCTCCATTTTGACGATGATTATGAATCTCTCCAACTATACATAATCACGGCTGGCGTCTCAATAATGCCACATTTAGAGCCCGTTTGGCCAAGCTGCCAAAAACTGCTTATTTTGAAAAAAATAATTTGTGTTTGGTCAATTCATTTAAGAAGTACTTTTTACAATATTTGATAAACAAATTATGTTTGGCCAATCTGTATAAAAAGTGCTTTTGAGTGTTAAATTATCAAAAAGGATAGTACCAAACTTTATAATTATTTTAAAAAGATAATTAAATTTAAATATTTATTATAAGAGATTGTTATTATTTGTTTATTTAATTTAATTAAAATATAAACATAAGGTAATCATACGTACTAAATATTTAAATGAATTTGAAAAGTTTACATACTATCCAAGCGAAAGAAGCAAAAACAAATGAAAAGACAAAAAACGAATTTGAAAAGTTTACATGATTCATGTATATGATGGTAGAAAAGTTATACACTTATATATATATATATATATAATGTAAAGGATAATTTGGAAAATATAAATTTATATTGAAGATAGTTTTGTCTTGAATAAATTAATTTTTTGCTACTGTTTCTGCTTTTTAAAAGAAGCTAGAATTTTCTGCTTCTTCTCAAAAGCAGTTATTGTCCAAAAATACTTTTTTATTTTGGCTAAACACCTTAAATTTTTCAAAAAGTACTTTATTGACAAAAAAAATATTTTTGACCTTCAATAAACTTGGCCAAACAGGCTCTTAATAATGGACGACTTGTTGCTAGGACTGTAAAAGCATATCAAGTTTGAAGCCGGAAAAAAAAAAGGCATATCAGGTAGTACAAAATCAATGAGAAAGATTGACTTTTCATCTTTTTCCTAAATCTATTATGACAAGTAATTGCCATCATAACTGGAGTACTAGCAAACTATGTCTATGACTCACGTGAACTTGCCTTTCTTGTTCTCCGCAGAATAATATCTCAGATATTATATTTTAACTAGTCAATAAAAAATAATAGTAGATCAAATTAATTTTCTGTAAATTTAGTTGGGATGAAAGAGAAAAGAATACAAAGATTGAAATTTAATTTGGCCAAACATGTTCAACTTGTTTAAATTCTATTATATAGAAAAGCCAAGTCTGGTCGATCAATAGCAAAATTGTAATTACATCAATATGCAAGGTTAAATTGGTAAGATGGATAAACATAAAATGTTTTATATGTTCACTGCTTGCTCACTCCAGATTTGACGGTAGCTCTAGAAACATCGACTCTTTCATCTCTTTTCACAAAGAAATGCTCCTCCAGTTTTTTGCTCGAATCTCTTCATCTTCTTAATTGGGTGGCATTTGATGACGGGATTCAGGCCTTTTTGGTTGTAGTTTCAGTTGAGTTCCAATTGTCCATTTATTAATTATATGATTTTTTATAGTTCTTGAATAAGGTTTCGTCATAATGATGCCCTTTTGTCATTCTTGTCGTATCAGCTTAAAACTCATGTGCCTACTTCTATTTCCCTTATTTTCATTTGGAATATCTATTTATTTGCTTCTGTATATATGAGAATTTTATCTTGCAATTGTCTTTTGGGATTTGATTATGATTTTTTTTTCTCTGGAGCTTTTGAATTATATTTATTTTCGAAATTTTTGTTTGTGTGTGTTTTTTCATCTGTTCCAGAAATTTGCAGGGATGAGAGGGATTTATCGAATTGGTTTTTCTTAAATACTTTGACATTTCTTTAATTACATCTAAATTATCAAAGTGAGGTTCTTGAATTGCTTTGGTAACTCTTTCCTTTTGTCTTATTGTTTTGTAATAATCCATTTTTGAAGTATTTCCTCAGGGATTACTTATTGTTACTAGCGGGTTTCGTATCCCCTTCTTGATTCTTGCCACTTTATATCCGGTGAAACCTTATGTCTAATCTCTAAAGAACAAAAATATACGATGAAATTTTATTCTAAAGATTCACTCTTTTCGGTAAGTTGTTTGTCGTGTCTTTTACTTTTTGAAGCCCTCAGTTAAACTTTATATGCCTTTAAGATTCTGATGCTTTTACATATAATGTAAAAGAAGTTTCTGAAATAGTTTGGACATATATGTGAAAAATGATAACCAAATATGATCTTTTAGTCATAGAGGATCATCAAAGAGTTTCATTTCATTTGGATGAATCACCTTTATCTGTTTTGGTTATATTGGAGCTTGGGAGATTCTCTACCAGCAATATTTTAAAATGAAATGACATGTTTATGTATGTCATGTAAGTTAGAATTCAAAAAAGATTCTATAGATACTCATATTGTGTAGGACCTACCGGTATTTTTTTAGTGACCCCCTCAGTTTATAAAGAATAGCGTAAAGTAGTACGTTATTGGATATCACATCTTGCAAAACAAGTATATTTTGGCATTGACTGCATTTTTTGGGGGGAAGTTTCTCTTTTACTCCTTATCTTTTTGGAGAATGAGGCTTGTGTACTTTTAAGTATTTGGCACAAAAACAATAACTACTATCCGCAATACCAAGCATGTTGAGGTCAGCTATTTGGCACAAAATAATTATTGAGTATTGATTAATGGAATTATAGTTCCTCATATTCCCATGACTAACTTAGAAGCTATAAGAATATAATGAAAACACAACTCTCTATCATGCTTCATGGAAATGTGTTTGCCTTGATCGCCATGTTATTGGTTTAAGTACAATATGCTATTTTATTCCCCTTTAGCTTTAGAAGTAACGAAGAAGTAATAGTTGAAACTGTTTGTTGCTTACCTTACATTTCACCTACTATGATGGAACACTTCCTAGATCATCATATGTTGCCCTTTGTAAGGATGATTGCCTCATATTGATAGTACAAAGTAGAGTTGTTATAATGTTTGCCCCATATAATTCCCTGCCCCATTTGTACTGAAAAATTACTCCAATGGATGAATCTATACCATCTAATTTTGTCTAACTATCATTTTGATTATTGTATATGGCAGGGCTCCATCAGGACCTGGTCATTTCAGTAACGAATTTTCATAATGAAGACAGAGGTTTTATGTGTTTGGCTGAGGATGTTTTTGATGTGCCAATTAGGAAGGATATTATTCATCGTGTTGTGAGATGGCAACTAGTAAAACAACATCAGGTATGTGTGTGATTCTTTTGAATCCCAAATTTTCAATTATAGAGCATACATATTGGCGAGCTTTTCCTGTTTTACTCTATATTTCTCGTGCCTAAGAGCCATTTATCATTTTTCATTTCTCATCTTACTGTCAATTGCTTCTCTGGGAAACAAAGAGACTTACTTGGGAAAAAAGAGAATCAGGATGATCATTTTGAGGCATATGAAGACCACAGAAACTCATATGCCTTTGGGGAAAAAATCGCATTGCTAAAGAAAATTATTGCAGACAAAAAATGGTCTAAGGCGAATCATTTAAATCCATCATGGCCTCCTATTCTCCTACCTGTTTTGCTATCTTTATGCTTGTTCCCCTAATTCTACAAGCTTTGTAAAATTATAGTTACTTGCCAATATAGTAAAGGATTCAAATGGTGCTATTGAACTACTCTTGATGAATGTTGCAGGGAACCCATTCAACTAAAACCATTAGTGAAGTTATTGGGACTGGTAGAAAACCGTGGAGGCGGAAGAGAACTGGGCGAACAAGGCCTGGAACACTGTGTGGTGCTCAGGTTCTACTTATGTATATTGCTTTGATGTAAAGAGTATATCTTTCTGCTAAGTAATTTTGAATCACTTTTTAGGGCAAAAGTTTCTTGTAAATGTAAAATATCCTACATAATCTCCTTCTCTTGAATTTTCAATCTTTCAAAATTGCCTGGTTCACAATTACCTTTGTGGAACTTGTCCCGGGATCTAATTGAAGCAAGTATTATCATTATATTTCTTCTTGACTCTTGAGCTTGAAAGCTGTAGAGAGAGAAGATATATCGTGAAGATCTTGTCAGTTTGTCATACATACATATCGAGTTAAGGGTGCAGGTAGGGGTGTACAAAGGAAACCGACAAACCACACCAACCCGATAATCCGAGTCAAACCGAGAAAAAAAATCCGACTATAGTTTGGTTAGATTTGGTTTGGTGTTGAAAAAAAAACCCGACCATAATTGGCTTGGTTTGGTTTTTACTAAAGAAAGTCAAACCGAAACCAACCAATCCGATATTATATATATACATTTTTTAGATATATTTAATATATAAATATACTTATTGTGATGTAATTTATAAATATTTCTTAAAAAATTTCATAATTTTATCTTTTAAGGTACTGTTTCAAGGTTTGACTTAGAACTTTTGAATGCTTAGCCATTAATATTAGTAAATTAAATAATGCTAGCAAAAGCCCAAATCAAAATCAAATCAATACTAGTGCTAACAAAAGGCATTCAATTTAATATTACGAACGAGAATATGTTGTGTGACGACTCGGCCAGTCGTCTCATGAGTTACCGCTCTGTTTTCCCTATTTCAGCTTCTTTACGCTTCGTTATCCATGTTTTATGTGATCGGGTTGATTAGTTCGAGTTCGGAGAGGATTTGGTAAGAAATGAGACACTTAGTCTCTTTTAAGAAGTCTTAAGTTGGAAAAGTCAATCGGATGTTAACTTATGTGTTAGAAGGCTCGGAAGTGAGTTCTGATGGTTCGGTTAGCTTCGGGAGGTGATTTTTGACTTAAGATCGCGATCAGAATGGGTTTTGGAGTTGTAGAGAAGATTTAGGCTTAAATTGGCGAAGTTGATATTTTGGCGGTTCCGGTTGATAGGCGAGATTTTGATATAGGGGTCGAAATGGAATTCCGAGAGTGATAGTAGCTTCGTTGTATCATTTGGGATGTGTGTGCAAAATTTTAGGTCATTCGGACTAGATTTGATAGACTTTTTGATCGAAAGCATAATTTAAGAGTTATTGGAGTTCTTAGGCTTGAATCCCCTGATAAATTATGATTTGATGTTATTGTGAGCATTCTGAGGTTTTGAACAAGTTTGAACGATGTCATGGGATGTGTTGTTGCAATTGGTTTGGAATTCCAGGAGTTCCGGGTAGGTTCCAGGATGTTTTAGGCCAAAATTATTGCTGTATTAGGTCCAGAAGGGTTGTAGACCTTGGAACCCACCCGCGTAGTCTGCACAAAAAGAAGTGCGGCCGCAGTATGTGCTGTGCGGACCGCACAAAAAGAAGTGCGGTCGCGGTAGGTGTCATGCGGACCGCACAAAATGGTGTGCGGCCGCGGTGGGGAACGATTCGCTGGTTCTACTTCGGAAGCTCATATCTTTTGATCTACAAGGAATTCCAAGATGATTTAAAAACGAAAGTTGTATCCCTTCGTGTCTTGTTTCCAGAAAGATAAGGATATCGCAAATTGGACATCTGTAAAAAAGGTTATGGCCAAAATACTAAAGCCTGTTACTGCATAGGAAGGCCTGTGTAGCCGCGGTTGTTTTTGCGCGGAACGCACTGGCTTGTGCGGACCGCAGTCAATTTGGTACGGCCCGTGGAGGCTAAAATCTAAGGGGTACTCTATAAATACGAGGTTTTGGATTTTATTAAATATTTTGACCTAGAGAGCTCGGATTTTGGCAATTTTTCGAAGGTTTTTCAAGAAATTCATCGGGGTAAGTGATTTTAACTCAGATTTGGCTAGAATACATGAATCTATCGCTGAATTCATCATTTAATTCGTGATTTGGGATGAAATTTGGGAAGAAAATTGTGAAACCTTTAAAAAATATAAAATGATAATTTGAAGGACCAAATGATATCGGAATTGGATAATTTTGGTATGGTTAGACTCGTGAGGGTATAAGAATTCTGAAAATGTAAATTTTACCTGATTCTGAGATGTGGGCTCGGGGCTCGGGTTTTGCTAATTTCGGGATTTTTGATATTTTTCGAATGTTTTCACTTGGGTTTTGTTCCCTTAGCATATTGTGACGTATTCGTTCTGATTTTGGATAGATTCAACGCGCGTGGAGGCCAATTCGAGGGGCAAAGGCATCGCGAGCTAGAGAATTAGCCGGTTCGAGGTGAGTAATGATTGTAAATGATGTCCTGAGGATTTGAAACCCCGGATTGCACATCGTAGAGCTATATTGAGGTGAGACAGGCGCTGGATGATGAGCGTCAGGTCTTTTACTACTGGGGATTGTGACTCGGTCCGTCCCGATTGATGATTTTACCGCGTATTTGACTGAAATTTATTTGTTATCATCACGATTTCGGATGATTGTCATATTTGAGCTTCGTGCCAACTATTTGAACCCTTCGGGGATTTTTATCACTATTTCCTCACTGCTTTGACTTATTATTTGAACTTAGTCCTGTTGATATCTACTGTTTTACAAACTCAGCCACTTTTACTCAGATTTGAAAACTTATATGATATTTCTAAATGATGTTTTGGGCTGAGAACTACTGTTTTACTAATCCCCGAGGGGCTTGTAATGATTTTTGGACTGAGTGAGGCCAAGGGCGATATATGAGGATATGTTGAGTGAAGTGAGGCCGAGTGCTGAGTGATGTGAGGCCGAGTGCCGAATGATGATGTCACGAGGTGGCTTGATATAGCGTTTGGGCCGTAAGGGGCCATCCGGAATCTGCACACCCACAGTGAGCGCGGGTACCCATTTTGTTCTGAGAGTGAATCCGAGGGGCTGATATTGTACTGAGAGTTAGCCCGAGGGGCTGATACTGTCCTGAGCGATTGATACTGTGCCCGAGGGGCGAATTTCTACTTGTTATTTACCTGTTAAATTACCTGTTTTACTTGCTTTAAAAAGGGATATCAATAGATTTCTTCACTGATTTACTGCTTTAAGTGATTTTACTGCTTGATATGGAATTGCTTTGTGCCTTTACGTGTTTTCATACTTTCAGCCATTATTTATAATTATTACTCGTTGAGTCGGAGTACTCACATTACTCCCTGCACCATGTGTGCAGATTCAGGTGTCGCAGAGTCTGCTCCTAAGTGTTGATCCTCCCAGTCTAGGCAGTATTTTCGGAGACTACGAGGTAGTTGTTGACGTCTGCAGCCCTCGTGCCTCCCTTATCTTATCATTTTCATGTTTTTAGAACTATTGTATCGGATTTAGTGTTCAGTAGACTTGTATCCGGATTTTTTAGTTGCTCATGACCTGTGACACCCCGGTTTGGGCTGTGTCGGGATGGTTTCTACTGTTGTTATCGTTAATTCCGCAAATCATGGTTAATATATCATGTTTTAGAACTGCTTATGGTATTTAACTATCTAAAAGAGGTGGTCTGTTTTAGTCTGGCTGGCCTAGTCTTCACGAGAGGCACCATCACGACCGGGTTCGGAGAATTGGGTTTTGACATATTGAATATCTATTTTTGTTTTGCAATAATTTAGATAAAAATGCATAACCTATTTTTATTTTTCTTTAGCGTTTAGACATGTAATTAATACTCTCTTATTAGTCTATTTATTTAACATGACTAGTACTTTTAAATTATGTTTATTTTTATTATCGCTTTTTAATTAACAATATTTGTATTACATAATTTTATTGTCTTTATTGTTGAATATTTTAGGATAATGCCATGACACATCTCATATTTTGGATTATTTTCTTGGAAAATACTTTATATAGTTGTATCTTATTAGGATTAAAGAAATATTTTGAGCATACATTATATGTTTTGTTCTACAGCGATTTTACAAAAAAAAAACCGAAAAAATTTGAATAACTCAAAAACCCGAGAAAAATCGAGATTGAAAAACTCGAGCTTTATTGGTTTTTTTTGGTCTTTAGATTTAATAACCTAACAAAATTGGTTTGGTAATTGTAAAATCCGAACCAACCCAGCCTATGTACACCCCTAGGTGCAGGCATAAGTTGTAATTGTGCATGGTTAAAATGTTAGTACTTAGTTTCCTACCCACAAGCCGCATCAACTGAAAGAGAAGGGAGTTAATTTCAGCAGGTATAGACGTAGAAGGGAAAAAAAGGGGACTCTGGATTTTTATAGAGGGAAACATATTACCTTGGCTACAACATACAATTGCACAAGAGGTGATTGAAGGCGACTTTTTTCTTTAATTAAGTTCATGGCTAACACTAAGGGTGTACATAGACCGGGTTGGTTCGGTTTTATTCAAAATCAAACCAAACCAACTATTTCGGTATGGATTGGTTCGGTTTTGTCAGGTTTTCGGGTTTTTTGTTACTTACATATTATTTCAATCTTACTTTGTTAAATATTTGATTATAAGTAAATATCTATTTCGTAAAAATATAAAAAATTGACAAACATATTATCGTTTAAAATATTCTTATGAGAGAATTCTATTAATAACACATAATAATTATTTTTTTAGTCGTCTGACAATAATTTTTTGTTGATATACACTTTCAGGTTAACCGAATTTAGTAATTAAACATAAAAATCAATATGGTACCTAAATATTAATAACCACTTCACATTCGAAAAAAATATAAGAATTTAATAGATCTTAACATATGATATGAATATGGGAGAACAAAGAGATAAAAACATTTCAGTAACACTTGATAAGAAAGTGATCATACAACCCATTATTTAAGGTCAATAAATATGGAGCACTTCATATTCTATTAAAATTTATATCTCGCAAGAGAATCCCAAATATTTCTAAATATTTTTTAAAGAAATTTTTATATAAAATATTAAAAGTATATATAAAAATTATATATCTATATGTCGGGTTGGTTCGAATTTTTTTACTCAATACCAAACCAAATCAAACCAAACCATGTCGGGTTGGTTCGAATTTTTTTACTCAATATCAAACCAAATCAAAGTTTGACTTTTCGGTTTGGTGCGGTTTTTCGGTTCGGTTTATACACCCCTAGCTAACACACCCATGTTGAGTGATTTTTCAAGATACCATAAGATTAAAGGTGACTTTTTCACAATTTTGAGATATCAGTTGATGTGCATATTTGCTATTGTGGGTTTTTTATGTCTAATTTTGTCTGTGTTCTTTTGGCACAGCGAATTTTAATTGTACATCTCATGAAGTGTTCTTGTTTCTTAGTTGTAATGTAAAGTAAAGCTGCATTGGAATCAAAATCGTTGGGCCCGCAACCGCGAGCAAGCTAGAGTCATCTAGAAGATGTAAAAGTTATTACATAGACATCCGTTGGTGCAATTTTCTAACTTCAAGTCTTCAAGCACCACCCATGTTACAAGATGGGTATGAAGACCGACGAGCAAGTGTGCCAACTTCCATAAATGGACTAACACTCAAGTGGGAGAGCCGTGTTATGGGTGACCTTATTGCACGGTTCAGAGAGCATTTATGTATGTGATGCAAGTGAACGTCTACGAAAAAGCTGTCGTAAAGTTTCGTTCTTCGTTCCATCGTCAACCCTATCTATGTTTCTATTATGGCCCAAGAACACGCTCATTCTTCAGCCGTAGAGAGACTTTTGAATTGCGAGGTACCATTACGAGCTCAGTATATATGAGTGTTATTCCGTGAAATAACTCGAATTTCAAATCTCTTCCCTGAGGCAATCCCTGGGATTCAAAAGAGAGAGAAGGAACTTTCTGTGTCCTATGTCGTCATCACTAATTATTCCCCTTCTCTTTGAATTTCTTGATCGGTCACTTCCTTTCGCTTTCATGCGGAAGGTTCCCCCTACCGGCCTGAGAAGGAATGGGTTTATGCGCTTTCTTTACTACTATGCTATCTGTCTCGGACGTGATTCGTATTTGATGCTCTTATCGGATTGGATTCTTGATTCCTTTACTAACCTATATATGTAAAGTTGATTTGTGGTTCTTGTCAATTTAGCACTTTTGTTTTTTAAAGATAGAAAAGAAGTATTGAAGAAAATTTGTGTTACTATTACTTTAGAAATGAATCTCTTAATCTGATACAAATATTTTGTATATGCTTATTTAAGCTTGATTTGTTTAGATTTTTTTTTCTCCTATTATGAAAAAAATGAAGGATATGTGAAATAAAACCCCATCAAGGGTGTGTGATGGAATGATTGAGATCATTTCACCCTAACCAAAATCCCCGCTTGAGCTCTTGGAATGAAACTTTTTTGGTAGGAGTATTTACTTCCCTTAGTGAGGTTACTTGGTGTGAATCGGAATTAAGGGGTCATCGACTGTGAATATGAATATGATTAAATTAAATAAAAATGAATAAATAAATTTGTACCCGTCAGTGACAATCACAACAATTAGCAAGATTTAAAGGTTGAATTCCCCCTTTCTGTATCCTCTTTGCTATTCGTAGATTTGAAACTTTACTACCAAATAGGATACTAATAGAACTCGTGAATGAATTATACACAACATCTTATATCAAAATTCTCTAAAAGGCAAACATACTGCTGAAATTTTTTAAGAGTAGAAATTTTGTAAAATTACGATATATATGGTCATTGTTGATCGTAAGTTATGCAAGTGGGAGGGTGTCACTGAAACTGAAAGCATGTTAGAGAGTTACAATAATTCCAGGTATACTTGAAACAGATAAACAAAACTATGACCAATAATTAATAAATTTACGCTCGAAAGTAATATGTCCTCACAAATAGCCAATGCCTCTATTAGAAGCAAATGTAAATGCAATAAACTTCATGCCGTCGTGTGTCTTCAAAAAGCAGAGGGACGACAACTGAAAAACTCTGAGAAAACACAATCCTCAATGAATCCTCCTTCCACAATTCCTAATATAAATTAGCTATTTTTGATAACAAAACACAATCAGATTCAAATAGAATTAAACTATCATGTAACTCACGTGTCACGAACTCGACATTTTTGTAAGCACATAATTTTTGACTCGCGCAACTTTTAAAAGTAGTATTTTTAAAAAATATTTACTTATTTTTATTTTAATAAGATTTAGCCTATTTTTCACTTTTAATTAGTCTAATAGTAGAACATAAAAGTCGAAAATACAAAAATATTTTCAATTTTATCTTTTATTTTTCTATTTAAGTTGAGTCCATTAGTCTTTTGTAGTAATATTAATCTAAGTTTGCTATCATTCTAATTAACTTTTCTCTGCTTTCATTTTAATATATAATCTTTGAAAAATGATGGTTTCATATGAATATAAATTTTATGTTAGTTAAAGTCAATTACTAGTATTCTAGTAGTATTTTGCTAGTTATTTTTAGTCTTTAAGCCCAATTTGAAAGCCCAATAAGACCTAACTCATTACCCCTTCTTCTTTAACCCTTACACCCTAACCTTTCTTCTTAACCTATACAAGACTCAAAGAGAGACACGACCAAGATAGGATCNATCGGATTGCCGCCCCACCCCTTCAAAAATTCCATGACCTCTTTATCTGAACTTACCCCTTTCACACCTAATATGTCGCCCACCCCATGAGAGAACCTTGAGATTTTTCATTCACTCACATATAAGCGCACACACACGCACAGTAAGGGAAATCAGAGGAAAGGGATTCGTGGGTTTTGTATGTTTTGATTTCCAGCTTTTCCATTTTCGGATTTTTTGAGTTCTTCACTGAAAATTAGGCGAGCTTCTTCACTTTCTTTTTCTTTATTTCAATGATAAAAAAATAGAAAAATACAAACAAAAAAAGAAATACATTGCTGCCCTTTCTTCTATTTTTCATTTAGTTTTCAAAGACGGAGTTTGATTGAGATCGAGGTCTTTTCGATCCCGGGTTCTGTTTGTAGCTCAAGGATTTGGGAGGCAACATTTCAGATTTCATTTGGCAAAATATATTTGAGTTCCAAGTCGAGGTCGCCGGTTAATTTCTGCCATCAATTTAATCAAAACAGAAGTGAAATCTTGGCTTTACTTTGAGGTTCAATCTTTTACTACGTTTCTATTCCCTTTCCGGTAATGTTGTTTGTTTACCTCTCATGCTTTTCTGCCTAGTGTGAGAACTTTTTAGGCCGACCACATTCAGGTTGGCAAACTTTAGGCTTTCTTCCTTTCATTTGAGGTAAGAGATCGTCCCTTATTTCATTTATCCGGGGAATACCCCGAATGATTTGTATATAGTTTATTCCGGGGAATGCCCCGAAGAACGTTGTAAATATTTAGTATTTAGAATTTTGCTTTACGCTTTTCTTTTATTAGATGGGGACGACCTCAAGCCTCTTTTTGTGTTTATTTGCCTCTTATGTATTTTTTACCTCAATTTGAATATTTTAAAAGCCAACTAGATCGAGTACGCAACCGTGATTTTCAGGGGACTTGGGGAGTGCCTAACACCTTTTTCCCGAGTCAAATAAACCCCCTTACCCGATTCTCTGGTGCAGGCTTAGTTTTAGAGTCTCAAGTGTTTTAAAAGGAAAAAAAATATTTTTAGAAAAACGGTGACTTGACACACCAAAATCAATGTCAGGTGGCGACTCTGAGTTAATTCTTTTGAACACAAATTTTTGTCACATTCTAATTGAAAACTCTTTTCAAGCTTTACAAAAATCTTTTATTAATTTAAGAGGGTTAAGTGAAGTTTGTTAAAAAAGGGGTGTGACATCTCTGGCGACTCTACTGGAGTTGCATGTTCGAGCTAGTACTTGATCTTGTTGGCTTTTAGGATATTAGGTTGAGGTGTTTATGTGTTTTGTTTGCTTTATTTGATTTTTATTTTTGTTTATGTCCTTTTATAATTTTGCTAGCTGCTTATTTGTTTACAATGTTTCCTTTATGTGTTACTGTTTTATAAACTGTCATCATTTGCATAACCATGAGTCTTCTTTCTGCAACAAGTCTTTCGGAGTACGTTTGAGCGTATATGGTCTTTTTGTGAGTCACTCGTGGCATGGAGTGGGCGGACAGCTAGAGCAGCCGCCATCGACAACTTTTTCTTTCACAACTTTTTCAAACAAAAAAAAACAAAAAAAAATTGAAAATAAAAAATCCAAAAAGATTATACACTTTGCCATCATTTTTCAAAAAATCGAAAAAAAAATCCAAAAAGATTTTACATTTTCCATCATTTTTAAAAAAAGACAAAAAAAATATATTTTTTCAAATTAGTGTCATTTTTAAAGCTTTCTCCCATATCCAATCTTCCTGAACTACGCATACCTGATTCTCGTCTTTCAGGACGTGACACGTAGGCAATCCACATAGGGTCCGGTCTTCCTATTAAGTCTTTGGTTTTTGGCTTTGCGGGTCTTAGCCATATCTTGCATGTTTAGCCACTTTTGGCCACATCGGCCATTCTTGCAAAATGGGTCATTTTCGCAAAAAGTTGTTCAATAACCCATGTCTTAGGATCTTGAATCCAAAACTAGGTGTCATATTACTTTAAGGTTCGTCCCTTTTGAGTTTGCATCTTTGGCCACTTCTGGCCATATCGGTCGTTTTTGCAAAATGGATCATTTCTGCAAATTGATTTTGGGCCATGATTATTGGGAGTTGAATCCATATATGCCTTAGTGAGGTATTTCCATGTTTTTGAGTTTACATTTCTAGTCATCTTGGTCACATAGGTCATTTTGCAAAAATAGCCTTAATCATGCCTTGCATGTGTCCAATAGAAGGTGTCGTGACGTCACATGTGTCTTGAGTCACTAACTCTATTTGATCTTATTTTTTTCATTCAGGTACGGATCAATTTGCTAGAGTTTGAGCATGACAAATACCCCAGGACCATTCTAGTCAAGACCATTGCATGCACGAGCTACTTGAGGAAACTTTTTATTTTTAGTCTATTTTATGTTGTCTTGTACAGTAGTATCGAGTCTGTTAGTCTAGTTAAGATTTTCGAGTCTTTTATTATAGTACTTCCTATTTTGTATTTGAAAAACAAAAAAAAAGTTATAAATGGAAAATTCAAAAAGATTTATTTTAGTTTATTTTATCCATCACTTTTTCAGAACTGCGCTTGATTTGATTTATGAGGGACATGATACGTAGGCAACCTACATAGGGTTCAATCGAAGCATCTTTTAAAAAAAACAAAAAAAAAAGAAAAAAAAAAGAGATGAAATTGTGGATGTGAGAAATGAGAGGAAAGAAAAGAGTGACAATTAAAAAGAAAAAGAGAGGAAGGAAAATGAGCAAGCCAAGAAGTGCTAGAAAAGAAAGAAAAGAGAAAGTTGAAATGAACAAAATTGGGATGATATCAAATGATCTTGTGACCCTCAAAGTCATTCTAAAGCCATTAATTGTTGTTAGGGGCATTGCACGAAATGTGATATTTCTATCTGATAAATGTCCTAACGCTAACACGTTGGCTTTGTTTTGCTCCTTTTTGTTACTTTCATTGTGATCATAATAGAGGGTGGTTAGTTTGTGGCACTTTGGCGAGTCATCTGTACAACACAAGGTCAAAGAGCAAGGTAGACATGGATAGCAAATACTTAGACACAGGAGTTGTTGACCCCTCGAGGGAGTTTGTGGAGTTGGAGTATGAATTGAAAGAGGAAATCCAAAGATTGAAACATCAGATGGTATAAATATATCAGTATTGGATCAGGGAGCATCCTCCACCTTCATTCCCCACTAACTACACTGAAAACCTTACAACTATCCCACCACTGTCACAAGCCCAGGTTTCCATTATCGTTGACCTTTCTCCTCAATATGCACCAGGCTTTACCCCTTACCATAATTACCTTGCCACTTCCTCCCAAACTTTCCATGCTCCACCAGCCAAAACAACCACATTCCCATCTCCAGATAACCAATACTATGCCCTGAAACCCACCTTCAAAGTCCGAGATCCTTACTTATACACTCCCCACTTTGAGCCTCATGTTGAAAATGAGAAACCACCCAAGAACGTGGAGCAAGAGGAGATATTTAGGAAGGTAAAGAGTCTGGAGCAATCATTGAGAAATATGCAAGGGTTGGGAAGCCAGTTGAGTGTGGTTTATAAGGATTTGTGTTTGTTCCCTGATGTTCAACTGTCTGCCGGGTTCAAGATGCCCAAGTTTGACTTGTATGACAAACATGGGGATCCAATAGCTCATCTGAGAGGTTACTGTAGTAAAATGAGAGGCGCCGGGGGAAAAGACGAATTACTGATGGCATACTTCAGCCAAAGCCTGAGTGGGGTAGCGTTAGAATGGTACACTAGCCAGGATGCCAGCAGGTGGTACACATGGGACGATTTGCTCAGGCCTTTGCTCGACATTTTTAGTACAACATAGACATTGCCCCGGATCGCCTGTCCCTGACCAAGGTAGAAAAGAAGCCCAGTGAAAGCTTTAAAGAATATGGTTTCCGATGGAGGGAGCAAGCTACACGGGTCAATCCTCCGATGGGAGAAGATGAAATGGTCGAGTACTTTCTTCAAGCCATTGAGCCTGCGTACTTTGACCATTTGATCTCAGCCATTGGTAAGCCTTTCAATGATATGGTAAAGATGGGAGAAATGGTGGAAGATGGACCGAAGTCAAGCAAGATCATGAGCTATTCTGCCTTAAAAGCCACAACACAGGCAATTCAGAATGATACAGGAAGCTTGTCGGGTCAGAAGAAACATGATGATGTTACCATGGTTGTCTTAGGATCGCGACATGGCCCAACGAGTCCGCCTCACCAATATACTCAGCCTCCACCCCAACCCCAAAACTACCCCGAGTTCCACATAATCCACCTAAGTACTATCCTCCTAACAATGCCCGATCATCTATCCAACCACCGGGTCACTCCTTATGGCGAGCACCAGCATCGCATAATACTCCTTCGCCTTCACAACTTTTTCGGGCACCCAACAACCCACATCCAAGCTAGGGGTATAGAGATAAACAAAGGTTGAAAGATAATTTTACACCGATAGGAGAGTCCTATGCAAGCTTGTTTGCACAATTAAAATATTATGACTTGATTGCACCTATTCCTCCGAATCATGTGGACCCGCGTGCAAGAAGCTTTGACTCTTCTAAAAGGTGTGTATACTATTCCCATGCCCAGGGGCACAATGTCGAAAATTGTCGGGATTTGAAAAAAGAGATAGAAAGAATGATTCAAAAAGGAATAATTGTGGTCCAGGACAATGACACCCAAAATATCGCGCAGAATCCTTTACCTGCACATGATGATGCAAACTTTGGTGACATGCTGACTGAAGTTAACGATATTGAAATTGGTGAAGGTCCCAGCAATTTTGATGTGCAATCCAGTGGCTAAGATGTCGAGCTTGGTGATTGGAAAGACACTCCTTTCTTGACTAGCCAAGGAGGAGTTTTGGTGGTTTATTTTGTTGTCATTTATGTTTGTCCGGGTTATTTCAAGGTTGTAATTCGGATATTGTCTGTGGATCAAACTATTCTTCTTATCATTTTGTCTAGTTCGTTTAGTTGTACTAACTCGTTTAGTGTTATTTAGGATTTCTCCAGGGTTGTAACCCATGTCTATTTTGCTTGTTTTGTTCAAACCCTATTTAACATCTGTCTAATGCAATCTCCTGTTTTCTGTTAGTTCTAGTTAGTTTTTGTTTAGGTCACTTTCTCTTTTATAATTCTTTTCATGCTGACTCTAGTGACATGACACGCACATGTAATTCTCAGCATGGTCTTGAAAGTTAGTCTAATCATGATGCAATGTCACAATTTTGAATATGATAAAAGGATGCATTTGAGGGAACATGTAAAGTTTCACGCAATCTTAGATGACTTGAAGCTTGAATTGAGTAAAACTGAGGCAGTAAGTCTTGGAAATCAAGAGGTTGATAAGAGCATGCAACAAGAAAATGTCTCTCAAGCAGTTTAAGGTAAATCAGTCAGTGTTGAAATGTATTCTTCCACATCAAAGTAAGGTTGAGTCAAGTCTGCTTCGAACTGGCCAGGGTCATTCATTGAGACAAAGGTATTGCCCATTGGCACTTCCTGTTTGTGTTGATGCCATCAATAAATATTGTGTATGATTTCTTTGCTTATCTTTAATTGCATGCTTGTACCTGGCATTTTTAAAGTTCGGTATGACGAAAGCATTTTATTCTGCTACCCAAACACTTTTATCCTTTGCTACCCCCTTTTGAGCCCTAATTTTTTCTTTCATACCCCTTTTATGGAATCAGAAATAGAGTTAGGAACTAGAAAATAAAAGAAAAAAGAGAAAAAGAAGAAAAAAAGGAAAAGAGAAAAAGAAGAAAAAGAAAAGAAAAAAAAAAGAAAAAAAAGAAAACAAAAATAAAAAAGGGAGGGAAAAGAGAAAAAGAAAAAAAAACTATTTTTGTATTTGAACTACGTTCGACCTGATTCTTGTCACCACAAGATACGTAGGAAGGCTTACGGTTCGGTCACACCAAATAAAATATTTCATGATCCCCGAAGTCAAGAGTGGGACAGTTTTCTTAGAAATTCCATCAAAGCAAAAATCCAAAAAAAAATCCCCAAACTCCAAGAAACTGGGGCAGAAGTTTTAATTTTGCCAAAAGATCTGATTCCAAAAGTTTTAATTGTGAACCCTTTCATCTTTGTTATTTTGAGCCTTTATGATATCCTTTCTTTCTAACCATGTCCAAAAGCCTATATTACGGTCCAAAGAAAGACCTTCCGACCAATTTTTAAGGATGTCAAATCAAGTGTGTGGCAAAAGTATGATCTTCCTACATCATGGGTAATACTCTGTTCTCATCAGAAAGAGAGAAAAATGATAAATGAGAGAGAATCTTATAGGTGAAAACCCTCATGGGTACCATAAGACGACGGTGAGTTGAGAAAAAGAGCAAAATGAGAGAGGCTTGATGGTGAAAACCCTTCAGGGCACTACTAGTCGAGGGAGGATTGTGGATCAAATAGGACAATTGAAGCGCTGAAGCCCAGTTTCACAGCGAAGAGGTACAACAAGAGTTGAATATTAGACTTGCTTGAGAGACTAGACCACTTAATCCAAAGGTGCATGTCATAGTCATTAGAGTTGGTATCCACATCTGATAAGTTTCTACTTTGTAATTTTCTTGTTAGGTATCATCTTTTTTCCTTGTCCCTTATTTTGTTCCTCTTGTTTTGTTTGAGTCCCTTCTTGAGTCTATTTGGTCAGAACAAGTGAGAAATGACTTCAAAATTTGCTACCAACTTTCCAATTGCACAAAACGAATTTGGCTAGCACATCAAAATGGCATAAGTCAAGGAAAAGTTGTATGCGCATTGAGTTGGTAACAATCAACATGCATTGCGATTTATGTGAAATGCAATGGTTCAGTAAATGTCAATTCATGAGAAAAATGCAACAGATAGAAGATATTGGGATCGAATGAAGCAGAGGTATTTTCTGTGATAAGGGTTGAAAGAAAATGGGTAGTCGATAACAGGCAGGGTCTTCCAAGTTGAAATCAAAGTTATCTTGGTAAGTGTAGAAGCAGTCGCCCTCAAGGTCAAGGCCACAAACTAATCACCACATTTAAACTCACAAGTTTTCTTTGTTTGCAACAGGAATAAAGCAGTGCAAGCTAGTGGGTTTAAAAACAGAAGAAAATAAAAAGAAAAAAGAAGAAGAAGTGAAGAGCCGATAAAGAGAAGTTTCTCAAATCTTTGCCCTTCCCTGTCTTGCTAGTGTGCATAAAATGTTGCCATTGCTTTTTACATTTTTTCCTCCTAGGATAAAAGTCCTAGTCTGATGGATTTTCCTCCCAATCAAATCTTAGTCTGATGAATTTTTCTTCTAAGATAAAAGACCTAGTCTGATGAATTTTCTCCTAGGATCAAAATCTTAGTCTGATGAATTTTTCTTCTAAGATAAAAGACCTAGTCTGATGAATTTTCTCCTAGGATCAAAATCTTAGTCTGATGAATTTTTCTCCTAAGATAACATCAAAATCCTAGTCTGATGAATTTTCTCTTAGGATCAAAATCTTAGTCTGATGAATTTTTCTCCTAAGATAGAAAACCTAGTCTCTTGAA